ACCTCTTATTCGCTTGTATTTATGTCAAATAATATGCTTTTGGAGAAATTCAACTGAAGGCCAGACATAACTTCAAAAACATGTAAAAATCTCTTCACATTTCTAATATGTGTCTTTGAAGCATTACTGAAGACTATAAGGTCATCTGTAAATTTCAGATGCAATAATTTGAAAGATCCTTCATTCTTACCGATATCAAAATCGTAAAATAGCCCAGTAGAAACTACCTTTAGCAACAATAAATTAAGGAGTTCCTCAATCAAATTAAATAGAAAGAGAAATAGTGAGAAGCCCTGTCTAAGTCCCTTAGCCATTGGAAATTTCTCAGTAGGAACATCGTTTACTAATATTGAAACTGAAGTCGAAGTAACATATTTACTCATCCAACCGCTCCATTTCACCCCAAATCCCATCTTCTCCATTACTTTAAACAAGATTGGTCAATCCACTGTGTCATAAGCCTTTCTAAGTCTACCTTGAACACGCCTCCCTTAAGGCCTTTTTTCCTCCAATAATCAATCCAATTAAGGAGCAATCCAAAATTTGAAGACCTGGAATAAAAGCAAATATTGAAGGGCTAATTATATCACTGATACCAATTTTTAACCTTCTTGATAGACAATTAGAAAGAATCTTATACATTCTTCCAACCAAACTAATAGGTTTGTAATCATCTAGGCTTCCTAGATTGAGTCTCTTGGGGATGATAGTAATGAAAGTGTAGTTGATTCCATGTTCCAATCTTTACCCAAGAAAAAGTTCTAGAATAATTTCATTATGTCTTCTTTGAGGAATGACCAAATCTTTTTAAAGAACCCCATATTCAACCCATCAGGTCCTGGGGCTTTGTTTCTAACATAAGAATTAATAGCTTATCATATATCTTCCGTCGAGAATTCCTTTTCCAATAAAATAATTTGTTTCATGGTTATTTTGGAAAAATTCAACTTCATATCTTATACTTTTAAGGTCGATCTGGAATTATAAATCTCAAAGAAATGTTCTCGAACACTTGCCTTAATGAGAGAGGATTATGAATTAGATTACCCTGTACACTCAAAGCAACCATGGAATTCATTATCTTTATGTTAGATGCACATATATGAAAAAATCTAGTATTTCTATCTCCTTCTTTTACCCATTTAGATCTTGATTTTTGGAACCAAATTTGCTCTTCAATTTTGTACAATCTCCATAATTCACTCCTCAATACACCCAATGAAGTGACTATTCCAATCGATTCAGGATTCTGTTGTAATTCCCGCTCTAGATTGTGTATTTCCCCTTCTATATCAGAAATTGTAGCAACCAGTTTTAGAATTCTAGTTCCAGACTATTTTTTTATGGATGCTTTCGTGTTTCTCAAAATACTTAAGAATCCTGCTCTTTTCTTTTTTTTTTTCTTTCATGGTCTATGATTTTCGAATATACCATCTCCTCAAAACCCTCATCCTCCATTAAATAATTAAAGAGCTTAAATTTTCTCTTACCCTAATTAACACCACCATTCTCAATTATAACAGCGTTGTGATCTGAGATGAACTTTGGTAGGATAAGTTATGTGTTTTCTAGAAAATCAATCATAAAATTAGCATCCACCAGGAACCTATTAAGCCTTACAAAGGTTGGAATCTCCTTGTTATTGCACCATGTGAAATTTCCCCCAATTAGAGGAAGGTCTATGAGGCCTATTTGATGAATGAAAGACCTAAAAGGCTCTATTGAATTCCAATGTTGAGATTTGCCTTCCTTATCTTTTGGAGATAGATACACATTGAAGTCCCTTCCCACGCATAAAAGAGACTTTGAATTTCCAAATAGGAAGAGAACTCTTCTAAAAAGATTGCTTTCTCATCCTCTGTGGTCGGCCCGTATACATTAATAAGACCACAACTAAAAATATTATCTCTAAAATGCCTAAATATGGCAATAAACCTCTTATTTACAAAATGTGCCTTGACTTTAAAAATACTATCATCCCAACAACTCAAGAAACCTCCATCGATCCTTTAACTGGTGAGACCATCTAACCCTAAAGGTCTATGAGACCTATTTGATGAATGAAAGACCTAAAAGGCTCTATTAAATTCCAATTTTGAGATTTGACTTCCTTATCTTTTGGAAATAGATACAAATTGAAGTCCCTTCCCACGCATAAAAGAGACTTTGAATTTCCAAATAGGAAGAGAACTCTTTCAAAAAGATTGCTTTCTCATCCTCTGTGGTCGGCTCGTATACATTAATAAGACCATAACTAAAAAGATTCTCTCTAAAATACCTGAATATGGCAATAAACCTCTTATTTACAAAATGTTCCTTGACTTTAAAAATACTATCATCCCAACAACTCAACAAACCTCCAGCGATCCTTCAACTGGTGAGACCAGGTAACCTTGAAGATTCTTTACCCTGATTATTCTCAAGATCAACTTCGGTAAAATGTCCAATTTGGTTTCATGTAGAAAAAAGGACATAATCTTCTTAGATACCAAGCTATGTAATGCCCGTTGTTTCTCTTTTCTTTCCAGGCCCCTCATATTCCAAGTAATGATGCATAATTTTGGCATGATGAAAGCTAACTAAAAACCCACTAACAGAAATCACGGAATCATCCTTCCATAACTACTACCAATCCTTTCTCCAGGCTGATTATTTTTTCCAGAAAGGCTTTGTTCTCATCCTTGAAAGAAATTCCCAATAACTTACTAACTTCCCATGTAGCTAACACTTCCTCCAAATACACATAGAAGGAAGAGGAAGAAACCGTGGGACTACTGACCTGGTCTAGCGCATCCCTTATCATTGTTCTTCTATTTCTTCTATTGTCTTTCCCACAGAATTTATCAGTTCAAAAGCCTGCCAGTGGTCTCTCTTCTCAAGTACTGGTTTGAGTTTGGTGCTTTGTTAGGCCCTAAAAATTAAAATCACCAATTTCAACGATTACAATTCCTTCCCCTGAATCTACAAAAGAGTTGTGTTGGCCCATACTAGTTTCATCTATCTTCTCCTCGTGTTCTAAATGATCCACCGCTTAAAATGATTCTCTTATAGTCTCATATCGAAGCTATATTCTCCTCTCTCTAGATCTGATGTACACTTTGGTAAAGAATCCTCTCTCCCTCCTCCCATCCGGGGTGCTCCTAATTGATAATCGACTAGAAGAAGGATGCGACGGTCTCCTCCTTAAGATATCCCTTGAATGTATTTCCTTGTTATCAATAAGCATTCCTTCTTTTAATGGCTCCACTGCTGGTATTCCTCATTCTGTAGCAATTTCTCCCTCACATAAAACTCCTTCAGAATCATCTTGTTCCATATGTGTTTAATACAAATTTCAATCATTATTCTACTTACCAAACCCGTATCGCTTTCCCAGAAGGTTTAAGTCTCAAAATAGGATAATTGGGCTCACAATAATCATCATATTGGGATTGAGAAATAGGACCCGAATCCTTTATATTCCTTATACCGAGACTTGAATAATCCCCTACGGGATTTCTCCCAGTAACAAGAAGATCTGACACCCCATTATTAATATATTCCCTATCTCTACTCTGCAATAGTAATTGTTGTCCCCTACAATCTCCTTTAATTTCAGTCGTTTCTCCTTGTTTGATCCACGTGTCCACCTTTAATCGTGCTTCCTCAATTCTCTGTTCAATTCCAGTTGCCGCTAGTGTAAATCGACCACCTTCATCTTCCTCCAACGAAGCATCCTCACTGAACCAATCATCTGAAGCTCTTTCCGATGCCTTCCCAAGAAAATCAGTCAACTTTTTTATCACCGAACCCATCTTAATTTTCACCTTAAAGGATCTTCCATACGACCCTACATTAATCGTATTTGGAACGTTAAAATGGCTCGCCACCTTCACCAATAATTTCGCTACCGATAAATCCTCTCTATTCTTTTTTGACTCCCGAATACAGACAACCTTCCCCCACCTCCCATCAAGCCTTTCCAAGAATAATTTATTCCAGCATAGAAGTAGAATTCCTTATAATTTGATCAAATAATACGCCATTGGGAAACCATCGTCATTCAAAAGGGGAGCCAAACAGTCAAACCAGAAAAATAACTCATCTTTTTTCTTCATCCAATCTTCTGATAGCTCTTCAATCGACTTAAAAGTGATGATACAAGAGTTTCATACATAACCCCAACTAGCGATCTTTACTTCAAATCCCTTATTTTCCAGACCTTTTGCACCAAGTCTAACTCAAAGGATTATTTGACAATCCCTATTAAATAACATTTCATCCAACTCAATTCCTCCGTAGGGATACGCATATCCCAAACATTCCTCATTCCTTAAGCATCTTGCATAATACCTTCCATATTCTCCCTGGTTTTAGGTATGACCTTCTATCCAAGGTCAATGCTTCTTTATACGTTCTGTCATCCCTTAAGCTTCTCGAAGACTTAGCTCCTTCTTTGAACATTCTTTTTTTTATCTCTGTTTGACTTATTGGCTTCCACTTAGGACATGCCTGCACCAACTACCATTGTTCAAGAGTTATGGTATTTTGAAGCCCCCACTAAGACTCTTCTCTAATCAATCCACATTCCATTCTGGATAGCCTTCTATAGACCAGCCTTATTAGCGAACTGAACAAAAGTGAATGTGGAGGTTTTGTATTTTGGCTTGTTCGTTACACTTGGGATGAAGACCCTCACAGCTAAACCCTGATGATGGAAAAGCTCCCTTAACGCTCACCTTGAAACTCTCTTGCTTAGATTATCCATGAACGTTGTCCATTCCTCATCTGAGGAAAATGACCTTTTAAATTCTTTCTCTCTCTCTCATTGCCTCTCTATCTCATTCTCGTTCTCTTTTTAATACAAACAGTTAAGGTTGTCTTATTTCTTTAATGAAAAAAAAAACTTCATTGTTTGTGATATATATGTTTGGTTGATTCTATGTTTAGCGAAAAAAATCATTTGCATCTTTATTGTAGATTCTATGTTTGGTTGATTTAATTGAATTTACTTAATTTCTCTCTTCTCATCGGTTTTTGAAACTGTACAACAGACACATGATGTTCCATTTGGCACCTACTTTGAAGTAAGTATTAGATTATTCTTGATTTGAAATATAGTTTTATACCCCTTTTTTTTTTGTGAAAGGTTCATGCAGTCTTACCGTTACCTATGCAAGCAATATTCCTCTTCTCTCTTATTATTTTCCGGTCTAATTTGGTTCCTCACTCTAATAAATAAATAATTCAAACTCCGGTCCCAAAACAAACAAATATATAAAAGATAACCACAGATTGTTACTTACAAAAAAATCCTCCTCTATTTGGGTCGTATTTTTTAAGGAAAATAAACTAAACTTTGATCCATAAAAATAGAATAAATCAACCCTTTTAGTGAAAGCATTACTACTATTAGATACAATTTTTGTATATACTAAAAAATGGAAAGTGTGTATACAACTAACATTAGTATTATAGATGATTAATAGTTAATCTACGCCATAATACACGACCAAAAACTTATCATAACCCAAGTCCAATCAAGAGGGGGATTGTGAGACTCATTATTGCAAAAGAAACTGTCCTTTTGACACACCAGTTCACTTGTTGGCTTTTCATGTGTTTGTTCATAAACTTTCATGCATATCATCTTCACTGCTATTAATCATGCATTTATCTTCACCTAAGTCCAATAAAGAGGGAATTTGTTGTTCAAACTGTCGGAGAAGGAAAAATCCCTTTGGAACTGACACATTAGCTCACTTGCTTCCAAAAAGAAAAGTTACTCACTGGCTTCACATGAAATTGCTTGTAAACTTTCTTCACTCTTACTGGTATTGATCATAACCTATAACCACCATATTCTAGCCTTTCTTGTTAATTCTATAAAATCAGAGTAATTCTCTGTATTTTCTTATTATTTCAATAGGACATATTGCATCTTAAATTATAGAAATCTGTTTAGAGAATCCCTTAACTGAAGGGATGGTAACAACTCATATCTCTATAATTCCTACACTCCCCCTCAATATGGATAATATATATTGTATAATCCCAACTTGAATATGAATTTATTGAAATCAGGCTTTGGCAAAGCCTTAGTAAAAATGTTTGCAATTTTTCCTTCTAAAGGAATATATGAAAGTGTGGTTGTCTTTTTGTTAACTTGATCAGCAATAAAATGCCTATCATGTTGAACTAGGTTATTGGCAATCTGAATAGCAGATTGATTATCACACAAAACCTCAAAGTAATCCTCTTGATTAGTACCAAGTTCTTTTAGTAGTTTAAGTAGCCAAATTCATTCACATATTCACAATACTAGTGCTCTAAATTTAGTTTCAACACTACTTCTTGAAACTACATATTGTTTCTTACTTCTCCAAGTTGTGTGGTTACCCCAAAAAAAGTGCAGTAGCCACTAGTGGATCTTCTTTCAGTGAGATTTTCGGCCCAACTAGAGTTTGTAAAAATCTTAACAGTATGTCTTGTGTCTTCTAAAACATTAAGACGTGTCTTGGAGCTTTCTTTAAGTACTTGAGAATTCTATTTGTTGTTTCCATATGCTCTTCTATAAGATTAGTCATGTTTAGACTTATCATAATTACGGGAAGGCTATATCTAGCCTTGTTAAGGATAAGTAAATTAGTTTCCCTACTAATCTTTGAAATTTCTCTCTGTCTAATAAGGACCCATCTTTTTTGTTGAGTCTTAAGTTTGCCTCTATTGGTGTATCAGTCAGCTTACAACCAAGAAAACCAGTTTCTCTGAGTGAATCAATTACATACTTTCTTTGGTTTATCACAAGTCCTTCTTTTAACCTTGGTAACTCTATTCATAGGAAATATCTTAGGTTTCCCAAGTCCTTGGATTCAAATTCCCTATTTAATAACTTCTTCAAATTGTTAATCTCTTATTCATCATATGTAGTAAGAATTATGTCATCCATGTACATAATTAGGATAGCTTTTTTATGTGTAGAAGTTTCCTTGATGAAAAGAGTATGATCGGCTAGGGACTGCTTGTAGCCGTTTTTAAGATTGACTTTAGTGAACCTCTCGACCAAGCTCTAAATGATTTTTTAACCCGTATAGAGACTTGTTGAGCTTGCAAACCTTGTTTTTACCTTCAACGGACTTTAAGCCAGGTGGAAATTTCATATAGACTTCTTCTTCTAGCTTGCCATTAAGAAATGCATTTTTTACATCAAGTTGGTGTAATTGCCAATCGCAATTTACAACCAAACTTAGGAGAACTTGAAAAGTGTTGAGCTTCTCCACATGTACAAAAGTTTCTGTGAAATCTATCTCATATGTTTGTGTAAAGCCATTAGCCACTAGTCTAGGTTTGTATTGTTGGATACTATCATTGGAGTTATACTTTACAGCAAAGATCCATTTACAACCAACAACCTTTTTCCTTGAGGAAGGTATGTAACGGTCCAAGTAGCATTTTTCCCTAGTGCTCAAATTTCATCTTCAACATTCCTTCTCATTTTGAATCTTTTAGAGCTTCACCTATGCTTGTGGGAACATGTTCTTTATCCAAGGTTGTTGTAAATGCTTGAAAAGAAGGAATCAATGAATTATAACCAGTAAATTTTTCAATATGATGCTTGATGCACTGTCTAGCCCCTTTTATAATAGCAATAAGGAAGCCATCTAGAGTAGGGGAATTGGATATACTGATTTCTTCTTCCATTTTGGCAGCTGAACCCAAATCCAATTCTCAGTAAGAATCAGATTGCAAAACATCCTTAGGAATATGTTTTCTTTTCCTTGTATAGACACGAAGTTGTTTGGTTTGTGTTATTTTTGGAAGATTTTCAATGGGAGTAGGTGTATTTTCAGGAAGGGTGTTTAAAATAGGTGTAGATGAATTAGTGATAGGTATTATAGATGAATCAATTGAGTAGTTACAGGTGACAAATCTATAGGTAAAGGCAAAAATGGTGGCAATTTTGAATTTTGAGAATGAAGAGTAGGAGGATACACCTGATGTGGTTAAAAATCCATCCATGTCTCCCCCTGAATTTCAGCCTGAGTGAAATAAGGAGCCTGCTCATAAAATGTTATATCCGTAGTGGTAAAAAACTCATTTATAAAGAAGATGATAGCATTTCTAACCTTTCTTTAGTGAATAATACCCAACCATTACACATTTTAAAGACATAGTATCTAACTTGGACTTATTAGGAGCAATGTTTTGGATAAAAATAGTACAACCAAATATTTTAAGTGGCAGAATGATGGAGATAAGTTAAAAATGGGGAAAGTGATGCCAAAATATAGATTAAGGTGTTTGAAATTGTAAAGTATTACTAGGTATTTTGTTGATCAAATATGTAACAGTTAATAAGGCTTCCCGTCTCAAATATTTTGGAACATTAGTGGTAAATAGAAGAGAACAAGTAACTTTATGGAGGTGTCTATTTTTTCTTTTGACAACACCGTTTTACTGTGGAGTTCCAACACAATAACTAAGTTAAACTATACATTTTTCCCTGAAAAATCACCCAGAGACTTAGCAAAAAATTTGCTGCCATTATCAAATTTAAAGAGCTAAATTTTAGACCCAAATTGATTGAGAACCATGTTACAAAATTGGGCAAAAACAACAGTAGTTTCATATTTCTCTTTTAGAAAATAAGTCCAAGTTATCCTATTGTGATCATCAATGAAAGTAATAAACCACTTATGATTATCATCATTCTTCACCCGAGAAGGGCCCCATATATCACTGTGGATCAAAGCAAAAAGGTGAAAAGGCTTACATATAGAAGGAGGATAAAATGATTTAGTATGTTTGGCAAGAGAGCAAACTTTGCAAGAAAAACGAATTTGGCCTTTTATTAATGAATAGAGCAGGAAACACTTTTGCAAGATAGTGAAAACTAGGATGGCCTAAACGATTGTGCCATAAAATAACATTATCAACTTTTTCTAAAGCGGTGAAAGATTTCGAGATCTAGGTTATAGTAGAGGCAGGGAGAATATAGAGACCATTCTGCAAGTGGCCTTACCAATCATCTTCTTCGAGTTCAGTGCATGCAAAGTACAATCAATATCAGTAAAAGTTGCATAGCAGTGTAAATCGGTGGAAAGTTTACTAACTGAAACGAGATTGCAAGCCATATTTGGTTCAAAGAGGACATTTTTTAGTGCAATATGTTCATTGAGAATAACAATGTCATGTCCTTCTATTTTGTACAAGGAACCATCAGTCGTTTTGACAGCTTTACCAAAGTTTGGAAAAATTGCAAAACAAAGCCTTGTTATCAGTCATATTATCCGTAGCACCAGAATCGAGGATCCAATTAGGAGTCAACTATGAGGAGAAAAAGATGTAGCATAAGGGTTACCTTCTAGTTCTTTCATAACCAGGCCCCTGAAACTTTCTGAACAGTTTGTGAAGTTCAGCAATATATTCTTTGGTGAAGCTATCGACAGATGTAGTATCGACTAGGCTTGATTTATTATCGTGAGATTTCTTGGACTTCCAGTCCTGAGGTTTACCATGAAGCTTCCAACACTTCTCCTTGGAGTGGTCGGTCTCTTTACAATGGTCACACCAAGGTCTCCCCCGTTTGGAAGTGGGAGATGATTGATGGGTGGGTAAGGCATATCCTTCAAAGGGGGAAAATGGTTCATCAGGCATCATCAAACACCTGTGGCTTTCTTCCTTCTTAACAATAGAGAAAGCCTCATCCATGTCCTTATTTAAGCCTTGGAGAAATTGAAAAAGTCTTCGCTGAGTGACAATTTGCTGGTAAAAGGTAGCATCTCTTGGATTTGCCCAATCATATTGTGCATACAAATCTAATTACTGCCAAATGGCGGTAAGGGTATTGTAGTATAGAGTGACATGTATCATTCCCTACTTAAGGGTGGCTGTCTGATCTTCAATATGATATAATTTGGCAATTTTATTAGTGCTAGAATAGGTTTCATGGACTGCACTCCAGATTTTAACGGTTGTGTTGTACAGAAGAAAGTTTTTACTGATACTCGGGGTCGAAATAGAGGAGTCAAGTCATAACCTGACCTTTTTCACGCATCTACTTAGAAAAAACAGTGTCAGCCGCAATAGGCTTATGTATTTCACCAATAACATAGCCCAATCTTTCTCTTCCCAAGAGAAAAATCTTAACCGATTGGGACCATTCAAGAAAGTTGTTGCCATTTAATCTATGGCAGGTGATAGTCAGACCAGATGAATCTTATTGAGTATCAGAAGCAGAAAGATTTTCTAGATTTGAAATGATCTCCGGAGTAGGAGAATAAGTCGTGGACATGGTCTAGGTTGGAAAGTAATTGTAACCTAATCTGATACGATGTAGAAATCAGAGTAATTCTCTGTATTTTTTTATTATTTCAATAGGACATATTGCATCTTTATATGCAAATTATATCTCTAAAATAGGGAACTCTAAGTAAGAAAATATAATATTCCTAGGAGATATGATCCCTTAAAATAAGGGATTATAGAAAACTATTTACAGAATCTCTTACTGAAGGGATGGTAACAACTCATATCTCTATAATTCCTACAAATTCCCCATTGGATATAAAGTGGGGAGTTAAAGGTGAGCCAAAGGAAAATTTTCTAGTGTCAGATATTTAAAATGAGTGACCATACCTGTCAGTTACGATCAGACCATCTTGCATATTAACTGGTCACTTGCCAACTTGCAACAAGAATAGAGATTTATGTTCAATGTAAGATTAGACCAAATATATGAGTGACATCTTCTCAACTTCGTATGAGTAACAGTTCTAACCTCTTGGAAGAATTATCAACTTATATATTTGTGTTTGTGTGTGTCTGATGTTTTCTTGTTTCTGTTCTATTATATATGTTTTAGTTTCAACATTAAAATGGACACGATTTTATTTGTGCTTCATCAGGTTCATTGTCAATGGATTGCAGAGACCAATGGTGAAAACTCATCTACTTTAGATATCAAAGCAGGTAAGTTTTGTTCCCTGTAAAGTGACATTTATTATGGTACATATGGAGATTATGGTACCAAACTACCAATGGCCATACAATGAACGTAGCCCACCGGCATTCTGCTAAATCCAACTCGTTACTTTCACATAGTTCAATCTGAGACTTCCAAGTTGGCCATACATATGGAGATCATGGTACCAAACTACCAATGGCCATACAATGAACGTAGCCCACCGGCATTCTGCTAAATCCAACTCGCTACTTTCACATAGTTCAATCTGAGACTTCCAAGTTGGCCATACATATGGAGATCATGGTACCAAACTACCAATGGCATACAATGAACGTAGAATTCCAGTATTCTGCTAAATCCAACTCGGTACTCTCACATAGTTTAATCTGAGACTTCCAAGTTGGACTCTTTAAGTTCTTGTGGCTGGGATGTGTCCCCTTGGGGACATCTTTTGACCAGGGTTTCAAATCGCGGTCGCGGTCGTGTTTTTGGTTATTTCGGATTTACAGTGATTGCGGCCGTCGCGGGCGCTATTGCGATCTTCGCGGACGATATTGCGGCCGTCGCGGGTAACTCGGACAACGGCGAAACCGCTATATCACGGCCGAAATCGCGGTCGCGGACCATTTTTTGAAACCCTTCTTTTGACATTTTTGCGTTGGCTTTAGTTTTGCATCTATTCGAACTCTTGTTGAGATATGGCCTTCCAGAGACTTGTGTCTCTCATTACAAGTTATATCGACATGATATTAGCTCTTAATGCATGCATCAGTCTATAATGAAAGTAATGAACATCTTCAAGCAGTTTCTGAGTTTGAAAACATGTCTTTTCTTTTCCTCAACATCAATGAATTGTACTAATTGATGTTCAATTTTCTGTAGGTGCACATATTAAGAAATGGTGTGTGATGTAATCGAAAATAAAGTCAGACGCTGTTGAAGAGGTCATATGTATAGGTACCAGGGTTTTTTTTTTCCCCAAGGTATAGATTTATAATGCAACTTAAAAAGGATTCCAGGGAAGCGAAAGTAACAGAGAATGGTTATTGTAATGCATTTTCTCAATGCAATAGGCAAATGGCAACGTTAATGTTCATATTTAATGAATAATATCCCTTAAACGTTGCTACTTCTTTTAACCCTTTGATATTTGAAATATATGAATACTTTTAGAAAATGAATATTTTGGAATAAAATTAATGTAAAATTACTGAGACAAATATATGTAGGGATGAAGCTATGCATCGTACATGGGCATTACTCTAATTTGTCATTATTGAAAAATATATATGAATAGATATTTATTTAGATATTTCAATATTAATTTATTTAGATTTTTTCTTATTTTTTTTATTATTAGCTATTTTATATCTCTCTTGAGTTAATATTCTGACTCCATCTTTGAATATATGTATTATTAAGATATTTGCTACTAGTAAAGGATGTGTATAAGAATGTTGATATGTGTCCCTAATATATTTGTAACATCGAACAGAATTTTTATATATGAGTGAGTTTATGATAGGATGATTGTAAGATTCACGGGATTTATGTCCACTATTTTAAAACTCATTGAATATATATGTAAATGTTATTAAAATTCTTTGAATATATATAAGTAATAGCGGTAGAAACACGTTTATGAGGACGGAATCATGATTTTAATTCAAGGAGACAAAGTATAAGTACCCATAAAATATGAGGAGATAATATATAGTTAATTATAGAAGATGAAAACGATAAGATTAAAATAAATTAAAATTAAGAGCTTTAATTTAATATATACTAATATAATTTTAATAAAAAAATAGAAGTGACAGTTGCCTTGGGATGAAAATATGTTTCATCCATGAATGTCATACTCAGGGTAATTCCACATTTTGAAATTCAAAATTTCTAATTAATTATTTATTTTATAAATTATATTTATCCTAAAATTTAATTTATATCTATCTTAAATAATTTTTTTAATATACAAGTATTTATTCTAAAAAAAATTTATTGTCCTCCCAATTTTAAAGTCTTGCCTTGACTAATCTAAACTGACTCGCTTTGCAGACTTGATTTTGGTAGGTGAGTCTCCTAGTATGGATTTTATGCATACACAAGGACTTAAACTGTAGATTTTGCTTAAACAGAATCAAATTGCTTACCACTTGAATCAACCACTTTGGGTATTCTAAAAAATATTTTTAAATTCATCACTAACAGATGACCCTTAAGTTAATTATGACTAAATTAGAGAAAACATATTTGGCTGGTTGACTAAATTATTTTTGTTTCCTCATATTTTTCGGTCAAGAGTTTTAAATGCACTAGAAGCATTCTTCTATTCACTAAAGTCTTTTTTTCCCTTCTCTTTGATATTATTAGAATTACATTTAGAATTTGTTAAAGAAAGACCGAATTAACAAAATGCTGTTGGGAACATGCACCATGTGTGGTAGTACAGCAGAGTGAGAAAACTTAGAAAGTTCTACAGTGCGGCACCTTTAATATCGACTAAGAAAATGTGTTATCGGTTTTGTTATTATATTTTTAACAAAATCGGTAAAAAATTACCGAAAATATTATTATTTCCACCTAAAACATTAATATTTTTTAACAATTCTGGTAAAGTGTCCAATAATAACAAAATTGGTAGGAAAAATAACAAAAAGGGTAGCGCTTTACCAGATTTGTTAATAAAACCGGTAAAGCGCCCAATAATAACAAAATCGGTAGAAATAATAATGTTTCCGTTAATTTTTTACCGATTTTGTTAAAAAATAATAACAAAACCAGTAGCACCTTTTTTAACCGTATATTAAGGCTACCGCACGTGATCATTTCCCAAAAAACTTTGACCTATTAGAATTAATAAAAAGTTCAAACTCTGCATTAATGCCATTATTGAATTTTGACTTTCACACCCTACTTCACTGACAAACCTTCTCAAAATTCTCATCGACTACCTTAATTTTAAGGTTAATGTCATATTAGTTTAATAATATATGAGATTTAAAAAAAATAATGTAATTCTCAAATAATTTAATTTTATATTTAATATGATTTTTAAATTAGAAAAATATTAATTTGACTCTTAGACAAATAAAAATTAAATGTTGATCATAACGGATTTGAATGTTAATATAACATTTTATGATGCTAAATTATTAACCACCGGTAAATCTACATCGATATCACCTTGAAATTCAAATATTTTATCCATCATAAAATCCAAATTTTATTCTTGTAATTATTTATCCTAAAATTTTATTTATGTCAGCTCATTTTATATTATTAATTTATATCCATATCCCAATACTAAAATACATTTTTAGATCCAATACTAATATTAATACGATGATATACATGTCAATTTAATGTTATGTTACCCGAACTCAAATTTCAATATCAGTTAAATCCAACATGGGCATGTTCAGTTATATATATATATATATATATATATATATTAATTTGGGATAAATCTAAAGTTGTATCTGTTCAAAGATAACTTGTAACTATTTGATATTGAATATTCAAACTCTTGACATTCATAGTGCTCGAACTCAGAACCTCAAAGAATAACAATAATTACTTGCCCACTTAAGTCGTTTAGTTCGTATTTAGATAATCTTTGAAGGTCATATCCTAATGTATCGGATATATATAGTTTAAGATAAATGAAGAGTGGAGACAATATAAGAAAATACTAACCATGAAATTCGCTTCGGATACAAACATTACTACATACAAATTAAAAGTAGCAATTCAGCTCATCTTCATCAATTTATAATTTACATTAAACGATCAGGACAGAGCAATTAACTTCTATAATCGAATTGATTAAATGCAGCTTAATCCGAGCACCGGATAAAAACCACGAAGGTGTCGGACTGCATTTTTCGATACCAGAATCCTACGGATCAAGGCCTAATAGTTTTTGCCTACAAATATCATGTATTAGTGCATTAGGAAATTTTGTGCATCCGAATTAAGTTGGTTACCTTTTAAACTCCATTCAAGTGATGTTCAAAGACTATCGGTAGCCGATGAAAAATGTCAATTGAATGGTGAGATAGCCATATCGAATTTTGGCGATGTGGTCTTGAAGGGAGCCCAAATATCGGCACCGTTGCTACAAGCAACTCCGACGGTATACGATATTGGAACGAGGCATAGTCCTTGGCTTCTCAGGCTATAATGCTCTACATCCTGGAAGAAAAACCGATTTAAAATCCGACCATAATTTTCCAATGATGGCTCCCTAAATTCATGGTTCTATCGTGTTTCAACATAAATGATGACAAATGATTGAGCATGAGAAGTAAATAGGGCTTTATGTTTACATATCCTAATTTATTTGTGTACCTGGTTCGGTTTAATGCTCACTTGCATGCTATTTATCGGCCCGGTTTGAAGATACGGAGCACTCAAAACCTGACCAAGGTCATAGCCATTAATAATGTTACAATGATAATTAAAATCATAACTGCAACTGGTAAATCATAAGCCATTAATAGGCTGTATATGTTCAATGAATTTTCAATTGCTGATCTTTAGAAGCATGCATTTAAAAATTGCAACTAACACCAACTAATACGCATGCTACGATAATTTAGGTAAAACGGGCAAGAAAAACCGATCTTAACTTGTTCGTGAAGAAACCGTATGTATTCCATTGCTTCCTAGAGAACAGAAGCTGTATCTGTCTGCAATGAACCAAATAGAGCTTCAAAATCAAAGAAAAATCGGATTAAGCACTAATACAGGATGTTTGTAGGTAAAAACTCCAGTGGATGCCCAAAATTCATTTTGCCACACTAATTATGTCCATAATAATGATTGCATAAAATATCAATGTACCTTTCCGTATGGCGAAACAAGCTGCTGCAGAGTCACAATTCGTTCCCCGTCCTTATCTTTCTTATCCTATTGCAAAAAAGGAGTAAATTAGGATTCTATTAACTACAAACAAACCATAACCAACTTAGTAATTAGTATGCAGAAAGAAGAAATGAAGAGATGAAACTCTGCATTGCTAGAAACCAAGTTGACATTGCAGATAAAATAATAATAGCAGAAGACCCAATCGTGACCACATTCGAGAATATAACCCCTAAAATAAGTCAAGAGAATGTAGTTTATGCCATGCGGATATAAATTAGGTATCTTCCTTGAAAAAAGGCGAGGGATTCCTTTAGTATAACTATGAAATGACTATAGAAGAATATATATTCCTAAGAGGAGACATAAATTTGAGTAAAGAAGGCTAAATACCTTGGTGGGGATCGATAAGTCGGACTTCTTTCGTTTCGATACCAAAGAAGTGAAACTGGTATGATCAGCAGAGCAAGGGCTACTTTTGTTTTCCATCATTGCCGATCTCTAGCCAGTTTTCACTGGTTAAAAAAAGTCAAAAAAAAAAACAGTATCACAAACTGAAATAATACCATGATCAGAAACTCATCTGACTTCGTTCATCAAGCTGAACAGTCATGAAAAGGGTATCAAAGATATCAAATGCTTAAAGATGCAGATTATCGAAGAACATTCATCTTACAAATATAAGACCATTTAATCAAGAATTGAAAGCTTTGAAATCATCAGCATCAAACTAATGTGACATGAAATCATCCATGTGAGAATGATTATATAAACGGTTCAGACTTGTTAAAATATTTTCCCTCAATTCTCAGCTCGTTCAAGATTCAATGCAAGAGCAAAACTAAAGCAATCAAAACCAATGAACCTCGGAATATATAAAATTCGCCGGAAAAATCGAATACCGTCTTGTCGGAAACTCGCATGAGCCGAAGTAGGTGAGCAAAACGGAAAATTGATACTTTAGTTGAGCATTATAATTTAATCAGAATCCATGGAAGAACATAACCAACTTGAAGCATAAAAATCAACTTAATCTCAGTCTCAGTTCACACCTCAAGCATTATTTGAATATGATAAACTGGGAGGAAAATCCATTCTTTGGTCAGCGGATATCATCCATTAATTTAATCACAACAGCATAATTTAAAACAATACCTCCCTAATTATATATTTAACTGTAGGTTTACAAACAGACAATAGTTGCATGAATCAATGAAAAACAACATATAAAACTGAGAAAAAAAATACAAATATGCAAATTAAATCATTCTTGCAATAAGTCAAAACCAGTGACATGATTCGATTAATCAAACGGTGGAAAAAGCACGATCATTAGTTATTATCCAAAGAATGATCTTTAGTGGGACCAGTTTCAGAAAAGAAGAAGAAGAAAGAAACCATATCCATGCATGAATGAACCATAAATACACCTAATCAGCAGTTTAATTAATAAGAACAACTTAACAAGACCAACGAAATATTATTTTACTCAACAGAACTATGATTAAACAAATATTTTTCAAGATAACATTGAAGCATACAATAATACAAAACAATAGCATGCTTACACTCACAAGCAACCAACTCCAGCTTCATTAAAAACAGAGTAGCATTTCCAAAAATTAAAGCTGCTTTAAAGCAAAATAAGTAAGGGTTTGAGCAACTCACCAAGAACATAAAGTTTGCATTGGCCAAAGAGCTGAAATTCGGTCTTTGTACTGCAAGTTGAAATTTTTGAGGACCCAAATTCAACAAAAGGAAATTTGTAGTTGATAGATTTTATTGAAGGAAAGACCCCAAATTCCAGAAGTCAGCTTCATTCTAATCTTCTTCAAGAAAACATTGAAAACAGAAAACTTTACCGCCAAAAAAAACAAGTTAAAAACTTTAAGAATAACCCAAAATCTGCAAAAACTTTAAACCCCAACACTGGTAAAGGTTCAAAGAAGCTGAGAAAGAGTGTGTATGGAAAAGAGAAGTGGGAGAATTGGGTTGGTTTGTTAAAGAGTTGTTTACTTTTTATAGGGGTTTTTAAGGAGATTATGGAAGGAAATTTATGAAAAATGAAAATATATATGGAAAACAATTGTTAATTTGACAGCTCATATCCAACCATACAAAGTGACATAGATAAGAGTAGTTGATTTAACCTTAGATTTATTGTCCATCTTTAATTTGGTTTTAATTTTTGTTTCTAATCATGGTTGAAAGTGACTAGTGAAATCTCTCTGCTTCTGCTTTTCCATTTTCCTTCAAAGTTTCTTTCAAACCTTAGCTGGCTTCGCTTACTGTTTAATTTAACAACTTAATCTCAATAATTGAAGATTAAAAACATTATTAATAATATAAGTAGATAAAAAACGATTTATTTTAATCTTCAGTTAAATAATTTAATTGTTGGTGATTTAGTATAAATATTTTCTATTTCTTTAATTCATCGATGTTTAAGTTTATTTTTTTTTATCAAATTTGAATTATTTACTCCTCAATCATTATAAAATAAATGTTTAACTTTAATTTTCTTTTGAAAATTAAATTTTCTCATTTTTAATTTTGTCTCTTAATTTTATTTTTTGTTCAATTTAATCTTATATATGCAACCCTATGTAAATTTGTTCTTTACATCAATTTCTTGAATTCATCGTAATTCAATAAATATTTTATCCTTTAGATTTATTATTTTAAAAATAATATTATAAATTCGCGAATCTTTTTACCTCAGTGGTTAAAGGAATCTTTAATGTTTCTAGAGATCATGAGTTCGAGCATCAGTAACTACAAGGGTTGTCGCGGCCGTCTTTCGGTTAGGCCAGACATTGGGCTTCGATGTGAATTATTGGGTTAGAGTCGCCACCGACCATTTTAAAACGAATTTAGGTGGGCCGAACACCATCTTACCTGATATGTGTTTTACCAGAAATGTATCGGGTTCGGGAGTCGGTTACAGTTAAGGAATGATTAGCACCCTTGAACCGCCATTTCGGTACCAATTAATTTTTCGATTGTCTTTAATTGCAAAAAATTAGGAATTTAAATTGAAATTTAAAACATTCGATTCGAATTACTTACCTTTGATAGAGATTACTACTGAAAAAGGCAAAAAAATGTTAGATAGAAAAATAAATAAAAAAATAAAAGGCAAACAATTAAAAAAATAAAAATAAAAGATATAATAATAATATAAAAAATAAATTAAAAGAACAAATAAATAAAAACTAAAAATAATAAAATAAATAAAATAAAAATTAAACAAGAGTAAGAATAATATACATATATATACATATGTAAAGCATTAACAAAAAATAATAATAAAAACTAGAAAGAAATAAAAATAAAAAAATAAAAAATACGTATAATAATAATGGGTGAAATTGAAATAAAACAAAATTAATGACAAAATCCGGGAGAAAATCGACAGATAAATTGAGATTGGGGTACAATAAAAGTTTTTAAAATATGGGGACCAAAAATGGAATTCCCCCATTTTAGGCACAAAAACACATAGACCGATTATTCGGGTCGGGTAAAAAAATGGGTTGGGTCAGCGGGTAGTATATAATCCAAAAAAACTCCTCTCATCTCATTTTTCACCATTTCACTCAAACAACCCCTCTCTTCTCTCTCAAATGCCCTCTCCTTCCCTTTCTAACCCGACGAGAATCCGACCACAACTCCGGTGGCCAACCATTGCCCCAAAGCCTCCGGCCGCCACTCCGGTCGTTGCCTCCAGTGGCTGAAAAAGATGAAAAGCCACCAAAACAATGCCCTTTACACCCTAAATAACAACCCAAAGCCCAAATCCCCAAAAACCCCACGGATCAGAGTAGATCTAACCCGAAAGTCTCGGCCTTTACCCATTTTATCGGTGGCCCTTTGACTTCCGGCGGCACTTTGACTTCCGGCGGCACTTCATTTGATGCCTCGGCTTTTGGCTCTTTTGTTGTGTATTTCCTTGCTTCGTGCGTTATTTGGTTGTTTACTTTTGTTGTGTTTTTCGTGTTTGGTTCGATTGTTGTTCTTTGTTTTTCTTGGTTGATGTTTTACTGTCTTGATGATATCTTCTGTTTGTTGTGGGTTCGCGGCTATGTGTTGATGGATGCGTTTGATCTTTGATGGCCTCGTGGGTTCTGTGTTCCCCGTTCGGTTCTGCGATGCTTGGTATTTATAAATCCCTGTTAGGGTTATTTTCGGCTGCTTTGGGGTCGATCCTGGATATTTCGGGATGGTTGGTTGTTGCGTGTATTTCAGTTTCTATTTTTCAAAACTTGTTGGTTCCAATTTTTTTCTCTGATGGTGTTGCATGTTTGACCGATGACGTGCGATGCTTCTGACTCTTGATATCACCTCTGACTGTTGAGGTTGCTTTCTGGCCGTTGGATTGGGTCAGATCCAATGGTCCATATTAACTTGTGCCTTTTACCCTTTCAGCCGTTTGGTTTGTGTGGCGCCTTGATAAACATTGGAACCCTAATGTAATATGGGTTGGGTCAGGCCTAGTTTTCGGACTGTTTGAACTGGACCGAAACATTAGACATGGAAAAGAAAAACAAAACTAAATTAAATGAATAAAATAAAATAAAATAATAATAATATACTAATAATAATATAATCTATTTAATATATATTTCAAAAACATTTTTTTAAAAATTATATATTATATTTTAAACAAGTTTTTAAAACTATACATCATATAGTTTTAAAAAAAAATATCGTATAAATTTTCAAAAAAAAATGTTTTTTTAAAACTATATATTATATAATTTTCTCAAAAAATGTTTTTAAAACTATATGTTATATAAGTTTTCAAAAAAATGTTCAAAACTATATATTATATAAGTTTTCAAAATGATTTTAAAAACTATATATTATATATATTTTCTAAAATGTTTTGAAAACTATATATTATATAGTTTTCAAAAATGTTTTAAAAGCTATATATTATATATATTTTCAAAATGTTTTTTTTTTAAAAAAACTATAAATTATATACATATTTTTAAAAATCGTTTGCAAACTATATAATATATATAGGTATATATGTATAAAATAAAATAAAAAAATATGGATGAAAATGAGTGTCTACAGCTGCCCTTCTTTGTCCTTTTTCGTGGAACGAAAAATAGGACAAAGATAGAAGGACACAAATTTTCGTTCAGTGGAGTTGAAAAATTTACTCTGAAAGAATAACTCCATGTCGAATTGTGTTGTGGATGACTCCTCCGTCACGAAGTCGAGTTCACCTTGAAATGATATAAGATTGAAGTCGTAGTTCGGAATTTGAATCGGAATGCGGCTTCTCGTTGCCAAATTGTAGTCAACTTCGATCTTCTTCTCGGTTTAAAGACCTTGGTTTAAACATTCAACTAGAAAATAATTCTTTGACTCCAACATGTGTTTGATAGGCCTTCGAGCTGAATGAAATCAAACTAGAAAGGTCTTCGGTTACAGATAGCTTTTCTCGACTTAAGCTATGCTGTCGGAAAACAGTTTCTTCTCGACTTGAAAACCTCAACGGCAACCGGACAGTAGTGTGAATGATGTGTCATCAAGCTGAATGGAATCAAACTCGATAATATTTATTGACAGATAGCTTTTCTCGACTTATGTTATACTGTAAATTTGACATGCCCTTAGGCTAAATGTAATCGAACTCGAAGGTATTTTGTTGGCAGATAGCCCTTCTCGCTTTAAGCTATGCTGCAAATGATGTGCCTTTGAGCTTAGTGTAATCGAACTCGAAGGTCTTTGTTGACAGATAATCCTTCTAGCCTTGAGTTATGCTGTAAATGATGTGCCCTCGAAGTTGAGTGTAATCGAACTTGAAGGTCTTTGGCAGATACTTGTTCTAGCCTTGAGCTATACTGCAAATGATGTGCCGTTGAGCTAAGTGTAATCAAACTCAAAGGTCTTTGTTGACAGATAACCCTTCTAGCCTTGAGTTATGTTGTAAATGATGTTCCCTCGAAGCTGAGTGTAATCGAACTCGAGGGTCTTTTATAGATAGCCCTTCTAGCCTTGAGTTATACTACAAATGATGTGCCGTTAAGCTGAGTGTAATCGAACTCAAAGGTCTTTTGTTGGTAAATAGCCCTTCTTGCCTTGAGCTATGTTACAAATGATGTGCCTTGGAGCTGAGCGTAGTCGAACTTGAAGGTCTTTTGTTGGCAGATAAACCTTCTAGCCTTGAGTTATGCTGCAAATGATGTGCCTTGGAGCTGAGCGTAGTCGAACTCGAAGGTATTTTGGTGGCAGATAGCCCTTCAAGCCTTGAGCTATACTGCAAATGATATGCCTTGGAGCTGAGCGTAGTCAAACTCGAAGGTCTTTGGTTGGCAGATAACCCTTCTAGCCTTGAGTTATGTTGCCGATAGTTTCTAAAAAAATGGCTTCCCTTCACAGGTCTAAGCCGATCATAATTCTTCAGGTGGTTCACCTAAGCGGGTCTGAACCAAGTGATATGATTTTTGGATGACTCCTCTTCACGGGAAAGCATACTGATAAATTCTGTCAGTCGGACATCTTCCATCATGGAATTAAAATCTGGCTGGAAACCTACTACTTGTTATTGAGTTGAGCTGAACTGGATTTGTTCTGAATTGGTTCTCGAACCTATTTGAAATTGAGTCAATATGTTTCAAGTTAATAGTTTCTCACTGCTGAGTTAAGCAACCACCATTGTTCTTTTAAAGACACTTTTTGAATCGAGTATCCTTCATCCTGAAGTCAAAACTTGACTCTAAAAGCTACAAAAATCATGTATGCTAAAATGATGAATGTGATGCTCTTAAGTATGTCTAAGATGCATGCAACATGAATGAGTTATGTTTTATCTCTTGGATGGACTCTCATGTTTTGCCTGCCATTCTAGTCCTTGGAATCGATCGTGCCCCATTTGCTTCTTGGGTTGCAGCCTTTCACATTTTAGACTGTCCTGTTTGAATTTTTTTTTTCTTTCCCTTATTTAGGAGGGAAAAAAGGATATAAAAATAGAAGAATACTATAAAAACATTGCCCCTTAATTCAGTCTCGCAATCAAATCGAATCAAATTATAAACATGAGTTCAAAGAATATTAAAGGAATCAATAGCTGTTTTAATGCTTTCAGAGTTATAGCTCTTTGACAAATATTAAAGTGGATGAGTTGGCTAAGGTTTCAGCCATCAAAAATGTCATTTTTTCGGTCATTGCAACATGTGTTTTCTTTGGCTTGGCATTTTACAAAATAACGCAACCAGTATTATCAATTACTAGACCTTTTATTTTGGTTCTCTGAAATCTTCCATTTGTTCAAGTTTTGTAAGCTCCTCTAACAAATTTAGTGCAGAAATATCTGTCTAAAAATGAAATTCTTGAGTGCTCGTGTGAATTTGACTATAACAGGTGTTCCTTAACTCCCTTAGTCCATTTTTACCGAAACTCCTTATTTAAATTTGTGATTATCTGGCTAGCTGAATACATAAAGCAGGAGCGTTTAACCAATTGATCTAGAGGGACAACCTAATATCATTGTATAGATATTTTATCAGGCAAGCTGAATATTATCCAAAAAGCCGAGGCGTTTAACCAATGGTTCTAGAGGGACAACTCAAGCTTTATTGTATATTATAATCACCTTTATCAGGCTAGCTTGATCTTATTCATAAAGCCGGGGCGTTTAACCAATTGCTTTAGAGGGACAACTCAAGCTTTATTGTATATATATAATATTATAATCTAGGTATACGGATCTAATTTCTTAATTTTGTCAAGAAGAACCTGTTATAGTCTAGGTGTTGTTGAAAGTCAAGAAATCTCATCTTTAGAGTTTAATTTCCAAGCAACTAGTCTGAATTAGATTCGCCTACTCGATTATTCCATCTGTGAAGATTATTATCATCACTGAACGTCTTAAACAAAAAGTATAGAAATGTCATATGCAAAAGATGTTTCATGTTGTCCACACCTATGCATATATAAATACCAAGCCTTATGTAGGGAGAAGGCTATATTGGATATTTGTAAGAGAAGGTTACGGTGCTTGAGCGTATCTTCTGGGTAAGGTCAAAGTCCTTTGTTTTATTAGCTTTTAATAGTGTTACTTTGTCAAAGATCTGTAACTCTAATCACTTATAGAGTTTTTTAATTCATTTGATATTCAAAGAATTTCAAGTTGTAAAGTTGATTCAATGCTCCACATAAATTCATTGAAATATCCAATGAAAGTTCAAAAACAAGTTCCAAATATGAGAAAGTTCAAAAAAAAAAATTCAAACACGATGCCTCAAAATTGAATAAGGCCTCATCACGATGTCCCACTTGCCATGACTCTTTCTGCTTTGGGAGTGTCATTGTTCTTATCATAAAATTCTAGCTCTTTTCTGTCCATCTTTAGCTGGATCAAGGCTCTAAATTCGGCACATTCTTGTATATCATGGCCATCTTCATTGTGATAACAACAATGACTGCCCCCTTTTGGAATCTGATGTGCTAAGATGTGGTGCAAGAAACCCCGCATTTATCATTTGTCTCCATACCCAAGAAATAGGTGACTTCACTTCGGAAACTCTGGTTTTGGCCTTTTTACCCTTTTCCTCGGTGATTACACTTTCCTTATTCTCTTGGTGATTAGGCAAAGGGTTCTATGCAATATGGGGTGATTATGTGTTGTTGAAATGAATCCAATTCCTGTTGCGCATTCTTTGGATAATCCTCTTAAAGGCGATACAATTTTCAATAGCATGCCACGGAACACCACCATGATATTCACAGTGTGCATTTCTGTCATACCACCTGGGGTATGGGGGCTTTAGAGGTGTCTCTGGATAGGGTGACACCACATGTGCGTCAAACAGTTGTTGGTAGAGCTCCTTGTATGTGATGGGAATGGGATCGAAATGCTCATTTTCTCTCATTGGTTCTCTCGAATCTTGTCTAGAAGATGATACATCTGCAATTGGTTTTGATTTGCTGATGATCTCTCATTCTTTCTTCTTCAGGGGAAGCTTTTCACTCGACCTACATCTAGGTTTAATGGACGTTTTGACTTCTTCCCCAAATTTTAGAATGCGGTAACCATCTGAATTATTTTGAAGTCCTGGTAATATTATGGGTGAGACAGCTACTTATGGGTAGGTGACATAGTTACTCCTTTCGATGAAGCTGCCTCAGGTGCACTTGTCTGACGTAGGCCAGCTAATTTGACAATGATCTGATTGACCAAGGACACTTGGCCTTTCGTGATTGTATCTAGGGCACTCTGGCTATTTTGATTTATCTTTTCTTCCAGATCCTTCTATAACTTTAGCATGTTCTCTTCAAGTTGAGCAATTCTAGCTTTAATTTCCTTTCGGTTTGAATGGGGATGGCACACATTTGAAGCTTGTGAGGTAAATCCGGTGTTTGTTCCTTTTGATGAGATATGCTTTTGTTAGTTAATGCGAATGTAAAGAAATAAAATAAAAAAATGCAAAATATGTTTAAATGAATAATGCATGCAATGTACAAGGCATTGATCCAAAAAAGTATATGTTATTATAAATAATCCTTATTAGGGACAAAAGTGTTAAGTCTTAAGAGACAAAAAACATTTTAAAGGTATAGACCCCGAACAACTTCTGACTGATTGAGTTGAATACCCTGTCAAACCGCTCCAGCTTCTCTGGCTAAACTGTACAGGTGACGAGCTGCTTTATGTACTTGTCCCAAGAAGTTTCGAATGGTTGCATCTCCAATTTTCATTCTCTGTTGCTCCTAACGAAAGCGCCAATGGAGCCCTCCATCGATAGAAACTATCCAAAGTTTATCTGCTTGTTTCTTGAATTCGTCAACAATGGTTTCTAGCTTAGCTAGGGTTTCACTATCTTGTTCTTGTTATCTTTGAAGGGAATCTCCAGGTTAGTAACATTCTTCTTGTATGCCCCTGCAAATTTTTGGCCAGCTTAAAAAAATTGATTTTTTGTGTGCTCGGCGTAAATCTCGAACCCTTCTGAACTGGATTTTTGTGTTTTTCACCTCTTGTATTATAACCCCTTTGTCCACTAATACAAATTATTTACGTTTAGCGAACAAAATTTTGGTGGATCAATACCTCTTTTGAATGATACAAATGGTGAAAATAAAATAAAAGAGGACAAAAATGAAGAGAGTTAGTGAGGAAAAAAATAATCAAAACAGTCATGAAAATAAAAGTCCTACCCCACATGCTTATTATTCCTACCCGAACATGATCTCTATCCCGCATGCTAATTTTAAACAAATCCTAACCTCATATTTTTCTAGTTCGCATGCTTTGAACAGAAAGTAAAAAGGAAATAATTCAAGCATCCTAGGGTTTGAAATGAGGTTTTGGGTTAGGCTCTAATTCCTTGTATTCTCTCAGTTTAGGTTCTAAAGAAGGTACCCGAGTTCTCTTTGCTGGTGCCCCCTTAGGCTTGCCAGACTCTTAGTCCTAAGCCCATTACAAGCTTGTGTAGACTACATTAAAATCGAGAGGAAACATTCCCTTATGCCAATACGGAGAATAAATTCACACGAAAGCATAAGATATATGAATCCCGAAGGTTACTTGCTAAGCCCATACGGAGAATAAATTCCCACAAAGGCGTCGCTTTCACCCCCACTTAAAAGGGTTTGGAGCTCCGGTATAGAGCCAGAGATAGAAAACTTTGAAAATATGAAATCATTAAAAACGTTAGTACAATTATTTATTTGAAAAGAAATAATCAAAGATTAATAATAAGAATCGAAGAATTAAATTAAAATTTAAACTTTCAATTTTCGCTTAAAAAGACAACCGAAAATTAATTCGGCTTGACTCACTTACCTGTCACCAGCAGAGTCGCCAAGCTGTCGCGACCATCTTTCGGTTGGGCCCAGAATTGGTCTTCGACGTGAATTATTGGGTTAGAGTCGCCATTGACCATTTTAAAACAAATTTATGTGGGTCGGACACCATCTTACCTGATCTGCGTTTTACCAGAAATATATCAGGTTCAGGAGTCGGTTACGATTAAGGAAGGATTAGCACCCTTGAACCGCCCTTTCGGTACCAATTAATTTTTCGGTTGTCTTTAATTGCAAAAAAAATAAAAATAAAAGATATAATAATAATATAAAAATGAATTAAAAGAACAAAGAAATAAAAACCAAAAACAATAATAAAATAAAAAAATAAAAATAAAATAAGAGTAAGAATAATATATATATATATATATATACATATATATATGCAAAGCATTAACAAAAAATAATAATAAAAACTAGAAAGAAATGAAAATGCAAAAATAAAAAATACGTATAATAATAATAAAGGGTCAAATTGAAATAAAATCAAAATTAATGGCGAAATCCAGGAGAAAATAGAAAGATAAATTGAGATTGGGGTGAAGATACTCATTTTTTTCATTTAAATATTATTTATATTATTATTATTATTATAATTATTATTATTATTATTATTTTATTATTAATAAATATTATTACAGGCCCAAATCAGACTGGACCGGCCCAGTTACAAAGGACCCCACTGGCCCAAACCCATTAGGAAACCCTAAACTCAATTTAGGGTTTGTATCATCTAACCCTAGCCGTCTCAGCATCACAGCCGTTGGATCTGAGAGATCCAACGGTCCACACTCATCCAGAACAAACCCTAGGGTAATGATACCCTAGGGACCACGCGGCCGCCGTTTGCCAACCTCTGCTACCACGCTGCCACAACGCCAACCGAAGGATCCAGAAGGCCAAGCCAAAGCCGCACACGTTGCCCTCAATGGTGAGTCACCACTGGAAGTTCGGTGACTCACCGAACTCTACTCTTTTACCCGGTCCGAGACAAGCACCGGTGATGGCTATAAAGCCACCACCGAACCTGCGAAGAAAAGAACCAACAGCCACAGAGCAACCAAACAGAGAGCAAAGATACAAAAAAAATAGAGACCAACTCACAACAACCAGCAATCAAACCGAGAAGAGAGAAGGAAGAGTTTACCTTACCGGAGAACCCCAAACGGCACCTAAGAACCAAAAATACCGAAGGTATTTTCCTTAGATCTAGGAAAATCCATAACTTTTTAGGATAAAAGAAGGGTGAAATCAGGTTTAGGGTACTTGGATCTAGGGTTTGGGAAATTTTGGATTTTCCTCCGATGAGGAAAGCTAGAGAGAAGCGAGAGAGAGTTTAAACTCTCTCAGTTTAGAGAGAGGAAGAAAATTAGAGAAATGAGAGCTGGCCCTTCAGGTCAGTCGGTTAGGGGCTTAAATAGCCCTCCCCAAACGATGTCGTTTTGGGGAGGGGTCTGTCTGTAATTAACTAAAAGTTAAACCCTTTCCGCAGCCATCCTAATTTATAATCCTTACATTTTAGTCACTAAATCAATTTATAATCCTTTTAATTCGGTTTTTTAATTTTAATTTTATTTATTTTAGTTCTTTATATTAAAATAATATATTTAGGATAAATAACATATTTAGTCCTTTAATTTTAATAATTGATATTTTAAACCCCGAACAACATATTTCAATTTATTTTAATTTGATATATGAATTTTATATAATTTTATTTTAGTCACCAAATTAATAAATAAGAAGAATATCATGTTTAATCCCTGTAATTTTAAATAATTAATCACGAATTAGGTTTAATTTTATTAGATTATAATTTAGTCACTAATTTTAAATATTTTCATTTATCATAAAGTTTTACTGCTTTTAAATATATAGTTCTAATTTTATTTTTTTTATTATTATTTATTTTTTAATTTTACTTGTTTATATATTTAAATATTATTTTTATTATTATTATATAGTCATATAAATATATATATAATAAATAATAATTTATTTTAAATCTTAATTTGATTTTATATAAATTATTTTTTTATCATATTTTAATATTTATTTTTTTCAATATCAAAGAAAAGGGCAGTCTTAATACAACTGGATGCCCTATTCTGGTATTTTAAAATTAAATATTATAAAAAATTATAATTTAATTTTATTTAAATTATATTGTTAATATTAATATCGAAGAAAAGAACTGTCTTAAGGCACCTAGAAGTCATTTTCTGATATTTCTAAATATATAAATATTTTATTTATAAATATATATAAATTAATAGATTTTCTTAAAAATTATAGTAATAAATTTGAGATAACAGAATTATAAATTAAATATTTGAATTCTTAAATTCTAGAGGCAATTTATAATTAAAAAGTACCAATTTTGGGCATTGTAGGGGTGTTAATCCTTCCCTAAACGTAACCGACCACGAATCCCTTTTTATTATTAAAAAAAACGAATTTTTGGTTATAAACGCAGATCAGTTAATCTTTTAACTGATGTTTTCTTAAAACTCTTTTAAAAGATAATTTTTAGGTATTCGACCTACCTAACCCAAAAGGCCGATGGCGACTACCAAATTATTTTAAAAAAACCATTTATTAACATCACTTTTCCCGCCAAGTAAAAAATTCGTGCCCGGACAAAAACCGGTTACGACAGCTTGGCGACTCCGCTGGGGAATAGTCAGGCTTTTAAAAAACAATTATAAATTGTCTCTATTAATTATAAATTAAAAATTCGTATATTTAATTTATAATTCTTTCTTTTCAAATTTTTTACATACTTATTATTTTTATAGTATTTTATATATATTATTTCATTTTATTTGCAAATATTTTCATTATTTATTTTTCTGTCAGAGGTTTGAACATTTCTCTTCACACACAACACTTGCATTGCATAACATAAAGCTCTATAATTGAGTTTGTCCCTTTTAAGTGTGAGTGAAAGCGACGTCTTCGTGAGAATTTATTCTCTGTGTCAGACCTAGCAAGTAACTTTTGGGGTTCATATGCTCTATGTCTTCGTGAGAATTTATTCTCCGTGTCAGGCATAAAGAAGTGTATCCCCTCGAATTAAACTCGATCCACTTTAGTTTGTGAGGGACTAGGATTGAGGGTTAGCAACCCAAGGGGCACTAAAAAGGACAATTCGGGTACCTTTATTCTTAGATCTGAAACCCTGCATATAATAAACCCTAGAAACTCTTCCGATTTGAAGCCATGCCGAAATTTTGTCCAAAATAGGTGTACACACAGGAGAAATGAATTCTAACTTTCCTTTTAATTTATTTATTTTCTTACTGATTAAATTGCATGTGAATTTAAATTATTTAAAGTATGAAGAAATCATGTTTAAATAAAGATATTTAGGTAGACATTATTATTAAATTATTTTTTTATGTAAACTAATTCATTTCTTTTTGTGTGTTCTTTATTTCTTCTGTTTGCATAGCATCATATAGGATAAAATGCATTGATCCTCGTGTTAATTGTCTCATTGGAAAACCTTCATCCATGGATAAAAAGTGTTCAAATCAAATAGTTCTAAACTCAGAAGTAAGACAGTGGGCTGAGGACTTACAAAGACAAGGAGGAGACAGTCTGCAAGATGACTATGTATCTGACTTGGCCAGTTATGCTCTAGTTTCGCTAAAAAGAAATGATATGCAAGATTTGCGAAGCATTTGGGAAAGTTGGGACTTAAACAAAAAAGTTGCAGTTTTATCAGACTTACGGAGACATCCCATATTTGCTCTATGTCGAAGTTGATGATGACTTACTTCGAGCCCTAATTCAATTCTGGAATCCAGGGTACAATTGCTTTACTCTCAATAAAGAGGACTTGGTCCCTACTATTGAAGAGTACACAACTTTGCTACTTATAAAAGGGGCTTTGGAGAATCGAATTTATTCAAAGTCAATTAAAACTCAACCTTTTCGAGTTAAATTAGCAAAGATTGCTGGAGTACGAGAAGATTGGGTGGCATCCCGTACAAAACAAAAGGGCGAAAGTGAAGGCATTGCTTGGACCAACATTAAAGAACTTATTCAGAGTCATCCAGACACTAAAGTACGATTCGATCTCTTTGCTCTGGGTATGTATGGTATGGTCATTTTCCCAAAAGTATTAGGATATATTGAAGCTGCAGTAGTAGATTTGTTTGAGCAGCTACCAAAAACGATTAATCCTGCATCTGCAATTCTAGCAGAGACTTTCAGATCATTAAACGCTTGTAGAAAGCTAGGAGGTGGAAGATTCTCAGGGTGTACCCAATTGTTATATGTCTGGATCCGTAGCCATTTCTGGAGGACAGAAAGGGTTTCATATCGGCGCTTTAATACGGACTACTCACCATTGAAAGAATTTCTGGAGCAAGAATGGCCGAAAGAAATTAAGAAAGATATGTGGATTAATGCATTTCTAAATCTGCAAAGCAATGACATTGTTTGGCGAGCCCCATGGCAAATCCAAAGGGAATTCTTTTACAAATGTGGTGACTACAACTGGATAATGCTGCTCGGATTGTGGGGAGGAATCGGATATGCACCACTTCTGGTTATAAGACAGTATGAAGGTCGTCAATTTGTACCTGTCACTGCTGGATTACATTCGTCTGAGCTCGCATTCCACAGCAAAAATTATAAAAGAAATATCATGGAGGCTTTTACAGCTTGGAAAACAACTTTTTGTATCCGAGCTAAAGCAGCAAAAGAAATGCTAACGCCTGATTATGAGGAATAGAGATCTGTCAGGAAAAATGAAAATATTCCTCTACCAGACCAAAATGAGGATATCTCTATGGAAGATCGTATTAAGGTGGTTCCATCAGAGATTGAAATCCTAAGAGCTGAGTTTGAAGCAGAAAGAGAAGATTGGTCAAGAGAATTAGAGAAAATGAGACGAGATAAAGCTATGTTGGGTGTTGACATTGATTTTCATTCATCACAATGTGCAAAGTTGAGAGAAAACAAAGAAAAAGTTGATGGTGAATTCAGAGCATTAAAGAAAAATTACCAGGAGTTATATAGTTCCCGGAAAGCATAAGGACCGAGCCAATCAACAGTACAGATGACCAAAGATTTGAACATCGAGAAAAATCGAGTTGAAGATCTGAAAAGAAAGAATAGCCGTCTACTCAAAAGCCTTGAGAAAGGAAAGCAAAAAATGGAAGATTTTGAGGTTGACAGAAGAGAGCGAATTATAAAACACAAAGTTGAACACCGCGAGATCATGAATGAAATGCAAAGAGAAAGGGATCGAGCCAAAGATTTAGAAGAGATGAAGAATGACATCTTTGATAAATTTGAAGATGAGAAAAATATCATGTTCAAGGGATTTGAATCTGAAATGAACCATCTGATTGCCGAACTTGAAGTCAGAGGC